ATATAGAATTGATATAAAATTGAGATTTGAAGATTTTCACACATAAGTTTTGAATATATATATATATATATATATATCAAGATCCTAATGTACAGTCAGTTAGATCGGGGCTACAGGAATATAGGACGCCCATGGCTAAGATACAAAGACAAGCTGAAAAGCAACTTGTCAGCAATCAATATACCACATAACACACTTGAGCGCTTAGCCTTGGAGCGGGTAGAATGGAGATCAACGTGGTTTAATGGACTCATCAGTTTTCAATCTGCTTATATGAATCATCTTCAAGAAGCGAGGGTAAGATCTAAAGGGTCAGCCAATCTAAGAGAGATCGCATCTCCCAATCCTCACGCTTGCTCCATATGTGGCCTCCTTTGTAAATCCCTAGCGGGTCTTAAATGCCACTTAAGATTATCGCACAAAATTTCATAACTGAATCAACTAAGCTGTCAGATCCTCACTACGCCGAAACCGACGGGAGAGTCCATTATATATATATATATATATATATATATATATATATATGTGTGTGTGTGTGTGTGTGTGTGTGTGTGTGTGTGTGTGTGTGTGTGTGTGTAAATATAAATTATTATTATTATTTTTCCTAAGGTTTTTGTGGTATAAATATTTCCTTCCGGCTCACAAAGAATAACCTGAGGTCAGAAATGGCTTCATGACATTTCCCACTGATCATTTTTTGTAAAAACAAAACAAAACAAAATAATTCTAAGATCACACACATTTTACATAGATAAAGCTCTTTGTAATGTATGAGCTTTACTTTTGAGTACAAATTTTTGTATTTCTTTAAGGTATATGCTACCATGAATCCATTTAATGAGTCTATCGGAATCTTTTACAATCAATCAGAGGCCTACACCTGGAATCATTTGCCACATTTGTTTAGATTTCCATTTCAATATACCTGTATTTTGATAATTTTCTGAACATCTTCAAAGATACGTTACAATCTGCAGTGACTGTCTTGTCAATAAGAAAGTACGTTCTGTTTTTCTGGTTTTTGATCCGATGTCTATGTGATTAATTTTGATTGGTCAGTCTGTGTGTATTGTAAAGTCCCATTAAATTGTTACAAGTCGTGTCTCTGTAACCGGGTCTGGGTGATGATCATACCAGTTTCTTTTCAGTAAAAGTTGCATAATTTCCAGTGCAGATATTGGCCTACTCTATTATGTTTAGTTTTATATTCAGTGGATGATAACACAATGCAAACTGATAGAAGATGGTCAATTGTCTCTGTATATTTA